TGCTGAAAATTACTGCCTCCTCGAGTCTACTGGCATGAGAAATATAGAAGCTTTCTAGTCCAAATCAGTCAAACTGATCCAGGTTAAGGAAATAGTTCTGATGGAACCAGACTGGGGGGTAACTAGGCGAGCAGGCAGGCCAGCAGTAGTGAGGGAGCAGCTGTGTGGTGGGCAGGTGAGGGAGGTTCATCTGTCGTGGGAAGAGGGTGTCTGAACACAACATAACTGATGTTAGAAGCAGCGCAAGTCTTTTGAATTGGGAAAGGTGAGTGATTTTCTGTGCTCTTCCTTCCCCTTTTTCTGAAGTGAACCTAGCTCTGGTGCAGAAGTGTGTTAAAGTCAGGGATAAGACTTTTAAGGGATGGACTAGCTCCTACCCCAGTCAGTGTATGGGTTTCTCAACACGCTGGTCACAGAGCAGTATGTAGAGTAGGGTAAACTAATTTCTCCTAATAACTGCCTTCCTTTGAGTTCTATTTTTATATACAAGATCAATTGATTAGATCTTCAGTTTCCTTTAGCTGGTCAATAGGAAAGGGCTACACATGTTATAGATACACTCACATACACTGCACTTGGAGCAGTGAACAGCTCCAGTCTCATATGAAAGCTATAAGTAGTTTTGGTCAGAGCTTCAGTGGTAATGGCTTTAGGAAAACTAATTACTATAGGAAGTGATTGATGTAGTGACTAAATACGTAGCAATCTTCCCCTGCAGTAGGTGGTGCTCACTGCTTAAATAAAATTAAGTAGTGACAGTCCTGGGCATGCCAGTTTTTGGATGAGTTCTAAAACCAAGAACTGACAACTTGTTATAAAAAAAATCATATGAGAGAGTATAGCTTTGTTTCCGTTTTGGTTAAGGTTTCATTCTACCTGCCTAATTTTTCCTTTTGCAGTTCTACTTAAAAATATTACTATTTCTTTAACTCCTCTCTATGCTCCCTTGTTGCAGGGACAGCTGGTATGTTTTGTTGCAGAGATAGGGTCTTTTCAGTGGTTTGTGAATTTCTGCATGTATTTCAGTACACTTCAGGAAGCGCTCAGAATGCTAGAGATGTTAAATTTTTATATAAGCACGGCTATTTTAGATGAGAAAATTGATTGGTAATTTATATAAATACTAACTTCACCTGTTTAGCTGCTGCTTTTAGAGCCTCAGAGGAAAATGAAATCAATGAGAATTATGCCCAAGTGCTTTCAAAAATTCATATAACTGTCTGTATGCATTTTAGACACCTAAATACTTTTAAAAATATGTTCTTTAGTCCTATGTCACCTGTGTGGCTTCCCAAAGCTTTAACTTGTTAACAGATCCAACTACATGCATGTGCCTCTTCTCGGCCAAAATGCTTTGTCAGGTTGCCTGCTTGCAGTCTGACCTGACACTGCTGCTGCAGGTCACTGCGGATGCTGAATTCTGTAACTTGCCTGCTTTGGCATCACTGATTTCAGCACCAACTTTCTGGTTTCCTGAACAAGCCAGGGGCTTTCAGCAGCAGAACAAGAGTCTTGTAAATAAGGGCTATATGTAGGTTCAAGCCCGATGCTATGAGAAGTCTATCGCAGTACTGGGTTGTCAACAGAAGTGGTCATGTGCGTGGAGCCACACACGTTCCTTTGTGGTAGAATTTTGGAATTCAGACTGGAATGTTGGATTCAGGCCATTCTTGAATATTTAGGAAAGTTTGGATCTAAATCGTAATTCTGTGACATTTCTTTAACGATCTTGAACTGAATGCCAGATTTGTGAGGTCTGCCCTGTCTAAGTACTTGGATATTAGCCAGATATTACTGCATTAAAGAATAAAAATAATTTTCTCAATAGTAAAAAAACCTATATTTTGATACCTTTTTTCAAAACAGCTGGTCTGGTTACCACAGTAGAATAAAAATGGGAATTACATTAAACAATATGTGTCAGAAATTTTGTACTTTGATCTGGTATTTTCAGATTTGCAGGTCATCACTGATGTTCAGTAATAATACTTCACCTGGTTGTAATACATATTCATTCTTTAATGTTTCTACACTAGGCACTTTGAGAACCTAATAAAGAGCCCTTATAGAAGTACAAAGTGTTATTAAATGAGTCTAAAATTCCAGCTGTTTTCCCCACAACACGTTTTGCCTAAAGTGAGAATGAATATTAAAAAAAAAATTAAACTTTTTCTGAAGTGGAACTTTACTTCTAGTCTAATAGAACAGCATTTCTCTGCATGTTGTCTGTCTCTCTTTTTCTTGGTGATACTTAATTTTAATTTGGTTTAGTTATTACTTCATTATATATTTTATTTAATAAAAAAAGTTTGTGGAGGCTGAAACTTGTCTTACAAGGTAAATCTCCACTCCAGTAAGAACCAAGTAAACCTCTACCTTCCAGTCAGAAGAACACATTTCTGTAATGTTTTTTTTCATGTACATTAGTATAATGTTTAATAAAATCTTCAATGTAGAAATCATGCCTCTCCTGAGTAATATGTTAGTGTAAGAGCCTCGGATATATAAAAAATATAATCTTTAGTTCATTACGTTAAATCTGGCATTTTCTAAATGCAGCGCTCTGCATGGCTTGGTTTTGTTTTGTCTGAAATCATAGTATTTCTATTACTATAGAACTTGTTGAAACCCACGCTGTTAAAGTGCTAATGTAAATTGTAAAAAGCAAACTAATTTGTCCTATTTGCCTAGAGTATAACCAAGATTTTTTCTTTATTTGAAAAAAATAAGGAAGATATAAATGCCCATGAGTTAATCTGCCACCTTTTGTGGAACAAGAATAGAGGAAAAAAGCCACCTCAAAATATGTGTAAACCGTGTTTCAGGATACAACGACGAACTCTTTCAAAACAATGCTGTCAACTGTTTCAGTACTTTAAACTGACACTGTGATTTTCAAATATTAATAAACATCCAGGGGGAGCTAGGGAGTAGCAATTTTGCTGTTTCTAATGGTATATAAGGAAATATGAATACAGCGAAAAGTAGTGTAAATGACTAAATCTTGGTTTGGGGTTGGGCTTTTTTTTTTTAATAGGAACTTTTGATGAGAAACTGGTCAGACATTCGAGAGTGGCGGAAAGCCTGTCAAGGTCACTGCCAAGGACAAGGGAGTCAATTAGTATGCAGATCAGAGCCAAGGAGTTCAAAGGTATTGTTCCAATTCAATCACATTAGCCAGGCCAGTAATGAACAAACGGCATGACCTTAATCAGGGAGCCCGAACCACTCACTGGCGGAAAGCATGTGTGCCTGTGTATGTATTTTGGGGGGCCAGAAGGAGGGGTTAGGGTGGCAAAAAGATATGTTTTCTTTTGTTGTTGTGGCGTGTTGTTTCTAGTTTTGTTTTTGTTTTTGTTTTGAAGGGACAGTAAGCACGGTTTGCTTAATTATCCACGAGTAATGAAAACTTGTTTCTGGGTCCCTGTGTTCTGAAGTACAAAATCGCTTTTATTTTTGGGTGATAAGTGACACAGGCTCAAACGGACAGGTGGTTAGAATATTTTGATAAAATGCATTCAGTGATACGCTAAAGGGTATGCAGGAGGAGGGAGATAACCTTATGTAAAACACTGAACTAAATTTTTGCAATTGCAGTCTCTCCCACTGTTCATTTTCTTTAACTCTACATGCAAAGAAAATTCTGGGTGATTTTTTTCCCTTTGGTGTAACAGAAAGTAATCTACACACTAGTTAATGGAAATAATATTTATAACAAAAATATTTCTTTAATACTTTAAGTCTGGAAAACATGACACCATATAATTATATTTTAGGTATCCAAATCACTAAGTTGTTTCATAGGTTTCTCAGTACAACACACTGCACATTTGAGTGTACTCAAATTAATAGAGTCAAAAAGCAGCATTCTCTCATGCAGACACCTAAGCAAATGCCCATTCTATTACAAACTTACCAAATCTCTCTCTTTGCTATTTTTCATGTGTACGTATGCACTCTCAAGTACTTTTTCAAAAATATGTGCGATCAATGCCAAAATAATAAAATGACAGGACGTATCTGTACTCATTTATCTGTCTAATGTTTGCATGTTTCTCTGAAGTGATTTTTGAATGCATAGTTAGGACTGTTGAAATTTCCACGTAAATCAAGACTGTATTCCCTGTTTTCTAGAGTAATGATTGAATTTGGTAGCCAGATATGTTACAATAGCTCCTCAAAAGGTAACATTTTTGTGTATTTGAATAATGGTTATTAAAAATATATACTTCCTGCATGTGGAAATACAAAACAAAAAATGTGCAGAGAAGTCAGCATTAACCATTGAGCATGTGAGAGATGCTTAAAATAAGTTCACATGGTTTATCTACAAGTTATTGTTTTGTGTTAGTATATGCAATAACTTACAAGTTTCCTGTCTCTCTCTGGGTAACATTTGCTCAACAATTACTGGAGCAGATTATCACAGAAAGCTGCAGGCTTCATTGGGGAAACTGTTTGCAGAAATCACTTCATTTCTCTGTAAATGAATCATGATAGGCAACTAAGATTTTAGGAATCAAGGGGGGGGGGGATCACTTTCTCTCCTCTTTACTGGGGAGGTAGTTCATCGTATCTCACTAAAACGGAAGATGCATAACAGAAAAAAAACTATTCTAGGCTATGAAGCACCCTAGGGGTTCATGAATGTTGGGGGAGGAACACTGATTATACAATGCAATAACATATTGAGACACTATTTCAGTTTTACACTTGGTATCAAGTAAATACAGGATATCTCACCCATGAAGGGTGATTATCTTTCATGAAGGGAGGAAATGAGTTATTAAGGTCTTTCTCAGGAGCAAAACAAGGATAAGAATCTTTATTAATGTAAGAAACAATCTGTTTTTTTTTTCCCCTACAGAAATATACTTCCTTTTTAGTAAAGATCTGAGGTTTTTTTGTCTTTAAATTGTCTATATCTCAGAAAGGAACCCATATCAGTTTTAGCTGACACCACTGCACTGCTTGAGAATATTGTTATAAAACATGTGCTCATTGCCATTTTTATCTAGATCACAATTAATAACATTTTTAAGCATGAAACGTCTATCTAGTCCCATAAAAGCACTTGTAAAATATTTGATATTTTATTTGAGGATATTAAAAGATTATTTAAAAATAAACATACACCAGCAGAGCAGAATTTTCACACAATTATTCAGATAGTCAATAGGTCTTCTTTGATCATATTATTATGATGCTTCTGCTGGATTTCACTCTAAGACAGGCGTATTTTTTTCTCTCTCTTTCTGTCTGTCTGTCTGTCTCTCTCTTTTTTTCCCCTAAACAAGGTCATACATTTTTTTTAAATGAGGACTAGAAGTTCCAAGTACAAGATTAAGTAAGTTCTAACAGTGTTATAAAAGTAAGTGCTTTTTTCTATAATAAAAGGTGTTTAAAAGGTTCGCTGCAGCTTTAAACAGAATTACAATTTACTTCTTTCAAGTGTCCAGGCCATAAATTCTTCTCAATTCCCTCTCTCTCTCCTTGTCGGAATTAATGAGATCAGATTTGATCAGGGCAGTGATGTGTTCAGAGCCAAATCACACAACAGCGCGCGTGCGGTAATGGAATTTGCATCTAATGCATACATAAATCAAACATCTTTCTGGACATTTTCATATGCATAATGTCATTTCATCCAGTTCTCTCTGTGCAGAGGGGGAGATTTTTCTCTCTGAGAGAATGACTTTCTTTAATGCTTTCATTTTATTTTCGCTGACTACAATCCCCGAGAACGCGCTCGGTCGGAGAATCTTTCGGGGCGCGGTTGACAGTTCCTTTTCCAAGAGGGGTCCTTCACATTTATCATGCCTCTTCCTCGGGGGCTTTGTTATGCAAATGTGGCTGAAATTGATAATTCCAAAGTGCTTCATTTCGGTTCCTTGGCGGTTGGAGATGGTAGATAAAAAGAAACTGACAAGACACACTGATTGCCCTCAATGCTTGTAACTCTCTTGCTAACAAGGCTCGATATTGTTAAAAATTCCTATTGTTATCAGGGTGGCAGTTCCATTATGCAGGCCTTGCAAATTTCTCATTTGAATATTAACCCTTTAATCACCCTTCTCCCCTCCCCCCCCCCACCCCCAAATCATTTGCCGTCAAATGGCATAAAACACAAAACATTCAATTAATTCCCTATTAGGAATGAACATGTGTGCTTTTTTTTTTTTTTTCAATTCCGTTTTCAAGGCAAGCATGAGAATTTTTTGCCTTAAAAAATGTTTTAACAAAACAGGTCTAGCAGAGACAGACAGAACTGGGTTGTTTTAAGTTCGGGTTGGTAAAATATTTACATGGAAATACCTGTTTGCAGAAGTCAAAATCAGTAACTCCTGGCGAGTGAAGAAGTTTCATTATTTTTAACTTGTTTGTACTTGCACTTTATGCTCTAACTTAGGTAGGCCTCAGGGAGGGGGTAGCGTGTCTTTATGTGCTGTAGTTACAGTAGATTTTTAGCTGTCTGTCCTACTGGCTGCAATATTACTTTCTCAAGCTAGCCAACAACAAACTTCCAGCCTATAGGCAGATGACCAAAATAAATTACTAGGAGGAAAGGAAACTTGTAAACTACACAGATTTTTGGAGGTGTGATTTTTTAACCTTGAATGGCATGTGCCTGTAACTTCTACCGTTAGCTGCTTTTTATATAGACAGATTTCACTTTGTATACTTAAAAAGTACTGCTAAGAAGTGGAAGGGGAAAGACTATTCCAGGGACATGATCCTGCAGCTGCTGTAGTTCATAGGAGCTTTTCCAGTATCGTTAGTGACCACTGAATCAGACCCTGGAAACAACACCTAACCAGGCAATGGCAAGTTCAAGCTAAGGACTGGGTCACACGCCAGTTGTAGTCACACTGCAAAAGAGCATGACTGGTTGCTAACTGATTTACTCATTGATTAATGAAATTGCAATGTCTGGAATTTCAAATATCCCTGAGATTTGCTGATGTGTGTCCGTAGAAGGTGAATTTCTTCCCACCCAGCACATGCCTTCAGGCTTATTTTACAATTATAGGTTAATTTTAGTTTGTCATTTTTCTGGGGACACCTGACATGGTTCCAGTTAAAGTAAATCTTGGTGTGACAAAGGTAAGTACTGCAAATGCTGGAGGGAAGTGGAGAAGGGAGGAATTGCCTCTGCAAAATGAAGCATAGTTCACTGCTAACACCAGGCAGCTGCAACAATATAATATTTCTCTACAATTACCAAGAAGATGCATCTCAACCAGCTCATGTCAAAGGAACATCAAAGTTTTCCACTTTCTTAGTTCTGAAGTCTTGCAGAGCCGTGTCTGCCAAATTACAGTAAATAAAAAAGACACTTGCACAACAGTAACCTCTTTTGTATTGGACTGCGGATCTCTCTTCCTCCCCCTATTAAAAAAAAAAAAAAAGAAAATCCTCTCATGTTATTGTGGGAACTCTTGAGAAGCTCATACTTTTTTCTTTCATTTATAGGTATGATGGCAGATTAAATCCACGGCAGGAAACAGTGATAATGCCCAGTGTAGAGCCCTGTGAGCTACGACAGCTAAGTTTCCCATGTGCTTTTTCTTTCAATTATCTGAAAACACCCTGTTAATTTTTAATGTATTTGTACCCTCATTCTGTTACCAAAATTGCTACCTTTCCCCTCTTCTTACTTCAGAAATAGATTTCACTAAACCTGGCTGCTGTAAACTCATTATACAATTCTATCATTTATTCTGTCCATTAGAGTAACCAGTGTTAGTGCTTTTCCCCCCACTTGAGTCTGTCAAGTACTGTTATTTATGCTCAATGGTATTAATATCTCTGGCTGTATTACGGCTGTGCACTCAAAATTGCTAAATACAATCTAAACTTGGCAATAGCGACTGCATCAGCTATCAATAATCAAAAAGTATCATGCAACTTGTAAGTATTAGTAAGAGCCAATAATTGCATAAATATGATTAACCTCTTCTGTTTACCATAAGGAATCACTAGTAATGCTGATGGTTTAAAAATATCCCCTTTCTCAGAATCAGATAGTGTGCCTGTATTACGAACAAGAGAATTAGAGATTTGACAGTATGTTTTGAATGTTTCTTATTTTCAGCTACCCTTAGCAATGACTCTGCTGTAACGTGAGTATATAATGTTATCCATAGTCTTCAGAGAAAAAAGAGCTTAAAAGTTGATTTTTCTTTCATTGTTTGCTTCTGTGGGTTAATTGTGCCAACAAAAGGATATTCTGCTTTTCGGTAACAAGGAAATTTGTTAGGTAATTTGTGACCACAGAATTGGAGCAATACAGCTAAACTAATATATATGCAATGGCTTCATTATGCATAAGAGGAGGCACTCTTTGCTTTGCAGCCCAAAACACACAAAGCACCCATTAGAATGAAGAGGCCTGTGATGTCTCTTCATGTGCAGAGTGTAAAGGTACATGAATGTCCTTGCTTGTTGGCATTTAATTTACCAGTTGCCTCTGTAGTGGAGCCTTGGCAGATTCAGCCTGAATCTGAAAGACAGGCTGTCATACTGAGAGTCTGCTGCCTACTGCTGAAATTGAGAGGCTTGGCAGATATGCAAACAGTAACTGGGTTTGAGTTGTTTTGATTACAAGTTAAACAGAAAGTCATTGGCAGGGCCAATATAAATCTGCTGAGGTTTTTTGGCAAAATCTGTGGAGGTATTTCTATAGATTCTGCAGAATTCTGTAGCACCTTGGTTTCACATCAGAGAGCGTCCACCTTTGAACCCGTTCAGCAGATAAATGTGTCAGAAATGTGAGTGAACATGTTTAAGTCGCTGAGAGCTTACAGATTCAGAAATATAAAACACATTAACAACATCCTATACCACACCGCTTTCGCACAGTTGTTACGTTCTGGAACCTAATGTTTCATTGAAGTTCAGGTGGATTTTCAGATGAAGTAAAGTAAAGTAAGTAAAAAACAGTTGAAATAGGAAGGCAAAATATATTTTAATGAAATTTCCAGGAAAAAAAAAAAAAAAAAAAAAGAGTGGACCAGGTCCTGAACTCAGTTATGTTAATAGAAATGCAGACATATTTTATCAGTATGCTTTTTATTACATTAAGCAAGATTCTCTGAAGTTGCTCTCTTCCTCCATGCAGTGCTTTAACAGTGATTAGGATCAGTGCAATTTAGTCTGCCACGGGATTTTTTCTCCCTTCCTTCAGTAACTTTACCTGAAACACTGTGTTTGTCCAAATATCCACTCCTGACAAAATACAAATGTTCATCCCAAATTCATTTCTTTACAAAGTTCATTTGTCTCCATATCTGATCTGCGATGTTGAATTGATGAAAGTAACCCAAACTGACATTACATGAGCAAAAAGAGAGTGTGTACACTTTAATTACATGCGCTTTTACAAAGCAACCTCTACAGTGTTTTGAACACTAACACATCCTTTACTAAAATTGCCTTGCAATTTTAAGGCAAAACCATGTTAATTTTGGAGGGAGGAAAGAGAATACATATAATTGTCATTCCTATTGTTTCTGTCTGGCTAGCTGTAGACAGATTTCTGCAAGGCTGGCTAGCAACAATACATTGATTTACAGAGGCAGGAATATCTCCACAATTGGAAGGGCTAAGACACCTTTCTTTGAAAACTGAGAATCTGCAAAAAGTGGCAAAGTTCTTGGAAAGAACCCAAATGTATGGAATCTGCAGATTTTTTTCATCTTTTTTCTTCACTTGTGTCTGCTGCTTTGCTTATTGCAGCTTTCTAGGTAGAAAAACCTGAATTTACACTTACTGTTATATAGCTCAAGCTATATTTTAAAAGAAACTAATTTGGACAATTTGATTAGAATATAAACATCATTATCTAAATGCTCTTTATTTCCAGATCTGGCAAGCTGAAAAAGTACAGTATTTTCCTGAGAGAAGTAAAGGTTTGTTTTCTTTGGAAATTACTTCACTGATTTTCTCTCTCTCATATTGAACATCCCTTTCCCTTGAGTAAATGGAATAAAAGAGTTTGTATGAATGGGCCATATTGAACTCCTGGTAAAATGGATAACAATAGCATTTTAGGAATTTCATTTTCAGGTCCAGGTTGAAAAGATACGCTGGCTTTTTGCCTCCTTCTCAGAGTTCTAAACACTTCTCTTGAAAAAAGCGAATTTAGGAATCTTTAGCAGTATGCTCCCCCAGTACTGCACCTCGATGCAAATTTTTAGAGAATGCTTGCAAATATCAACTCTGGCTGAAAGTGATATACTTTATTACTGTTCTTTCTTATAATACAAACATTTCAGTGCAGCTCAGATCTTATTTTTCAAAATACACAGGATTTTGATATATGGACAACAGGAGAATATGTATTTTAGATATAATGCTTAAAGTGCTTAAAAGTTATTTCTGAGCTGATTTAACATGGAAAATCTCCAGGTAGATTAATTTTATAGGCTGCTTTTATGGGTGTAACATTTCAAGATGAGAAAGCCGTGCTTCTGAAATTTAGTTTCGGCAGATTTCATTGGCACCTACATCTCCCTCTTTTATTACCTTAAAGTTGATATTTAATCTCATTTTTTTCCCCGATTTTTACTTAATTTCTGACTGAAATGGCTGGGGCAGGTGATCCCCCCCACCAGTTTCCCAATTCTGTTGCTTCTATTCCTGTCTCATTATTTACATGCCAGGGAAAAAGTCACTATAATAGAGGTACTTAGATAACTATGCTTAGAAATTACAAGATCTCTAATGCTGAAGATTTTTACTGGGACAGGCAACTAGAACAAGGTTAAACATATATCCCTGAAAAGCCTCTTTCCAAATGGCTGGCTTAATTCACAATGCTAAGAGCAGGCTGCCCTTGCACCAGTTGTTCTATTGTAATGAACACAGAGCTGGAAACTTCAGTCATTGCATAGGCACAACGTCCAATAGAAACACGACTTTATATAGGAATATCTAACATTCCCGACAGTGGCTGGGATGTAGTAGAAAAGGAGAATGTGGAGTATATAAACGAAACATGTTTAATGATGTTTCTGTAGTACACTTAATATGGATTCAACACACCCTTCATAGGAGGTATGTGTTGTGAATGTCTATGAACAATAGTACGCATTTGCGAATTACGTACTTTTCTGAATCCCTGAAACATACTCCGGAAAGCATAGCAGCTCCTTATGGAAAGTGGCTTTTATGCATGTGTTAAGAATGCTTTATAAATCTCAATACCTCAGCCATTTGGGTGGCGGTAGTGGTTGTTGTTGTTGTTATTTTTTCCTTTGACAGTATGAGCAAGCTAGTCTGTATTCTGGCCTGATGGCCTGCAAAATTACTAAAAAAAAGGAATATGTTTTTAAATGTTGGGAGTGCAGTTGAATGGAAAGAAGCAAGCATTTTAAATTAGAAAATGCATGTACGGTGGGTGGGTGGGTGGGTGTGAGTGTGTTTATGTGTGCGTGTTTGAAAATTCACAAACACTTTCAGGCTGTGTTTTTTTATGACTGAGTTATATACCTTAAAAAGTTGGTCTCACTAATATAAATGCTGAAAAACTCTCAACTATTGTGGTGCCTATTGTAGTAAAGAAATTCCCTAGGAGAGAATGACAGAGATACAAAACGCTAAAGAATGATGATTTCCTCACTACCAATGTGATTGCATAAATTAGGTGTACATACGCTCCCAATGATTTATAGCACTTGAAACTTACAAAAAATGATTATAGTTGATGTTACCTTTGAAAATAAAAAAGCTGGTGGTTATTCACCGAGTGGATGAAAGACCGGGGAGCTAAATTCAGGTTATAGCAGCTGTCTCTTGTACAGATCTTTGAATACCTTTTATGTAAATAATTTTTGTAAATTTTCCTTGAAGATAAACTTATTTAGCAAACTTGCATATACTATTTTGTTAATTTGGAAAAAAAATAATGCTTTTTATTTTCCTACTTTTGTCCTCCTCACTGTTAGCCTGTTAATGGAAGTAGCATTTCATTGATTATCCATTTAATAACAATATTCTTCTATATTTGCTCAAATATTTAACTGTTTGCATGGTAAGTGGTGCAAAGGTGCCTAAGAATGGTATAACTAAAATGGGAGAATGAAGAAATGTATTGGCTATGACAAGAAGAAGTAATTGCTTTTCCTCAAAGGATCAGATGTGGTATAGTTGTTTGAAAAACAATCTAAACAACGTTTTGTTCACCATTGATTTTAAAAGCATTAAAATTAGTTTTTATGCAGCTATACTCATTAAGCTTTTATGTATACTGTGTAGGGTGAATAGTTAAGACGTAATAAAGCATTCTGCAGTAAAATATACTTTGCCAGTTGTCAGAAGAAATAAAATACATAGATTCAGAATGTTTGTTTCCTGTAGAATATTGTGATATTTGCCATGTTAATTACAATCCAAATAAAGCTATTTTGTTTGTGTATCTTAAACAGCCTTGTAGCTGTAGCTGACTAATACAATTGTTATTGGAAGTGTTGTATTAGGAGGCTGTGTGTTCATACAGATGAGAAACAAGCACCAGCCACATATATCTCAACAATCCTTACATTTGAAGAATGTTCCAAAAACTTACGGTGATTTTTAACCTCAACTAGCAGAATGAAAGTACAATTTTCTTTTGTACTCCCTTTGGTTTCTCCTGTCAGTTTCTGCATTCACACATAAGCTGTTTCATCTAATTTCACTGAAGTACTTAACAGTGTATTAAAAAAAATCTAGAATACAACACCAGGCTAGTGCCCAAGGAAAAGAACCTTATTTGGTTATTACACATAAGAGCATAACCTTTTATTTTGCGTGTGAAAAATGAAGAGGGAAAAATGTACAGTGCAAAAACATGCCATCAGAGAGAATAATGCATATAAAAATGAGTTCCTGTTATTGTGTTCAGGTGTGTTTGTGAATAAAAAATGGAATTTTGAAAAGTCAATTAAAATTCATTAAAATTCTTTAACACTAGAATTCTTTAATGTGAAAAATTTTGCTAGACAGTTTGTCAGTATCTCTGTAAGCACTGCGCTGTGATCAGAACTAGTTTCCTCCACCTATGATTGTTAGATGGCTCTGAAATGCGTTATTGCTTCCTTTTCCAAAAGAAGGGAATACTCTTGAAAACATGGAAGTACTTATAAAGTAAATAAGCTTTAATTAAATATCATTGTCTAGCATTAATCTTTATAGCTCTGTTCCCTATGGAAATAAAAGCGGATATTCAATTTGTTTTGATTATGCATGAATTTTAACAGAAGATTTATTTATATATTGCTGTATTCTTCAAGACAGAGGCATATTTCTGTCGGCCATAAGCCATGAAGTAGAAGCTTCCTCATTAACGTGAAATAAGAGTGCCTCATTTTTGTAGTATATAAATAGATTGACATTTAGGAAAATTAAATATTATATTCAAGAATAAATAGCATTTCATATGTGGCCGGTGCAACAGCCTTTAGTCTGAAATACCAGTTAGTGGGTCTGTCTGTGCACATGAGGGGGTCACTTAAATCCTGCTTTCATAATGTCTTGTAAACAAATGCTAGTCAATACTGTGTCTTCACCCTGAGGAAATTTCACACAGCTTTACCAGCTTCACATAGCAGAGCTGCGTGATGATAAAGTCAGGAAAGTCCACCAAAGTCTATCTGAATGTTGGAGCCCAGTGCCACAATGCATCCCGCTTCACCAGACTCTTGCACCTCTCAACAGGTCCTTTGCTGTTGGCAAAGGGAAGTTAGTTCACTTACGGCAAAAACACATCCTCTAGTGCAGAGCTAATGGTGTCCTCTATGCTGAATACTGCTGAAGGAAAAACTAGGAGGAAAAGCGTGGTCTTCTCAACTCCTGCATGCTGAAGAACAGTTCTATTCTGAGTTGCTCTGGCCTCTGGTAGTGTACTGAGGAAGGCAGTTTTAATGATGAAACAGGAGGTTGGCCGTAATGCATATGTTTTGTATGCCTTGATTTGAGGATGCTTGTTTCTCAGTGCGGTAAACTGTTATTTGTTGCAGTTGTGCTGTAAGACACACTGCACAACTGCACTATGGCTGTGCATTTGCAGGAGATGTCTGAGAGTCTTTAAATAATGTGTAACGGAGTGTTGCTCTTTCATCACCTTGGGAAGTGGCTCTCCCCTGTGACAGTCATTATATGCTCAGTGCTGATCCTTAGAAAACACTTTTAATCCTGTCTGTTGCGCCCACACAGCTAGGCCAGTGCATACATTCAGAAGCATTACCCCGATGTATCACATAGTATTTAGCGCTGAAGCCTCAGTAAGCCACACCAGTTACAGACCCTGCGAAACATCCACAGTAAAGGGTGAGCCTTTAGCAGCTCCGTCAGGGTACAGAATAGCCCCGAGGAGTGGGGTTCTTTGCTTCTGGGCAGAGAGCCCAACAATTCCTCTTGCAGCCTGTTTTTCTGCTCTGCAAACAATGCGGAGGGAAAGGAACAAATAAGAGAAGTGAAACAGATCAGATAAGAGGAAAACCACGGCAGAATTGTTTTTTAAGGAGAAAACAAAAGCAGCATTCCTCTCATTCTTTTGCATACAATGTCCATATTGGTTATAGGAAAAGAGTAGAGGCTGCAAGACAGAATGCTTTTGGATGGCTGTTCATACCATGAGACCACATACGATCAGGATCTCAGACTTCCTGTACAGTCAATAGAAAGAGGCAGGTTCTTAATGTTGCTGTTTTAAATTATTCTTCAGAAGCTCCACTGACTGTACAGGGTCATATATATGATCATTGTATATGTTGTATGTATCCTTGATAGCTACATTAGATGCTTGAGGTTGGACAGCAAAGATGCTCAATAACAACATTAACCCTGATAGCCCATCCCATTCTTTTGCTTAGTGGAATGTGGTAGGTTTGTGTTGGGTATGTTGGCTATGCAGTGACTATGCTGGGAATGTTACAGCCACAGTGCATAAGTTTTCTCTCCACAGGTGTGTGGGAGGTACTTCAAGAATTATTTCAGAAGCTGGGAGACCAAAACTAGAATTCTGTCTGCCTATCACAAGCTATGGAGCTTCCCTGGATTAATTCTTGCTTCAAGTTCAACATTTACGGTTGAATAAGATGCATATAGTCTTTTTCACTGGTGTCTTTTTCAGTCACCATTTTAGTATTGCAGTGGGGGAGGATCCACTTTGAATCTCTCTGAGCTGTTTCAATGCTGTTAAAATTGTGCATCTCGGTTAAAGCTTTAGTCTTTAGCTATTGATTTTTGCAACATCTTTTTTCCGCTAGATGAAGATTCCCTTAGTATTAAGTTCCTATTCTCCCTAGAGGCATGTCTCAACTATAATCAAGTTATCCCTTGTATTTCTCTAAACTAAATAGAGTTCTTTGTGTCTTTCACCCTAGGTCCTGTTCTCCAGTCCCTTAGTTGCTCTGAAGCCTTTCCAACTCTTCAACTGCAGCCAGAGGTATAAACTCTGATCAGTATACTCTTCGAGGATTGGTCCCAATGCCATTGAAAACACATGTAACTTTTCTACTTCTACTCTCTATTCCCTTGTTTATCCATCTAAGGACGGAGTTAGTTCTTTTAGCTAGTGTCACATATTAAGCAGATGAAAAGGATTAATGGATCTAGGAGTCAATTTTTAAAAGTTTACACCAGAGTGAATGCTATTATAAGAGCCTTTAATGAGAATGAATCTGTGCAAATATCACTGACAGCACCTCTTCAGCATTTGTTTTACAGTAGAGATGGTTGCACATTAAATGTCTTTTGGCAAGAGACTTAAGGATTCTACTGGGACCAGTCTACCTTTTGGTACTCTGTTCCTTGAGAAATCTTACTATTTCCTACTTGAGTAAGTCTAGCAAAACCTGCTGTTTCTCTGAAAGTGCATTATTTTGTTAACATTCATTTTCAATCTTTCTAAACTTGCTAGTAACATATATTTCAATAGATTTGTTTAATGTGGTATGAACACAGAAAAGAGAATAGTTAGCAGTAGCTGGAGAAAAAGGGTGCAAATAGAAGTTGAATGTTGAATTGAAAATGTTATGAGTTGAAGTTCAAAATGTTGGCTATTTGCCATAATTTCTTCTCTAAATTATAACCAACTGGTTCTATTACAGATGCTACCTCCTAGTAAGTGACATTTTCTGAGAAATAGTGATAATTCAGTGAAAGTATATGGAGGGAGGGGGTGAAAGAAGCACAGTCAAGAGAATGTGGTGAGAGGAAATGATGAAAGGCCATAATAACATAGGAGGAAATAGCAGAACATGTGGCAAGCATACTGAGGACTGCATGCATTTTATGTGTCACATTACCTCCAAAGAGGTTCTTAAGAATTGAAAGCATAGGAAGACAGTATATAGCAAAGCTCACAGGACCTAATTATGTGGGACAAATTAGTCTGCAAGACCTTCATAATCTATCTAAAGACGTGGGTGTAGTAGTAAGTTAATGAACAGGTTATTATGACTGACTGTCTGAAATTCCATGTGTGCCACATGTTAAAGAGCTTATGTGCAGTAAACAGAGAACTATTGGAGGTTTTAATGTATATGAATGTATATGAAACAGTATAGTGACATAAGGGAGTTAGGAACAAGAGTGAAGAGTTTCCAGCGGTTGATTTGAGCAAAATGGGCTCGGTTGTCTTTGAAGACAGAGTAGCAAGCATTGTGGAGCTATAGTTTAGCAAAGAATAATCAGCAAGTTCTAAATCATGACAATCAGATAGATTTGCCTAAGGCTGCTTATCTACTACCTCAAGGTATTTAAAAGTTTATTGGCAGAACTAAGCTTTGAAATGAGAAGAACAGTTAAACAGTACCGCGATGGTAGCCTTCAGTTAGGAATCACCTGGCAGCAAGAATGAATGATCAGCAAGATAAATAGACTATCTCATGTGAAAAATTTCAAATGGATGGGAATAAAGGTGCCAGTGAGATGCCACTAGATTTTAGCAGGGACCCTCACAACCCTGTTTGCCTTCTTGCTGTCAAGAAATGCGGAGTAGTAGTAACTGTTATAGCATGGCGGTAGGGATTATATTTGATTGCCCTTCTGGTTATTATTTCATGAAAGAGCAGAAAAAGAGCTGTAGGATGATGGTTGCTTCACAGAGCCAGAATAAAAGGGTATGCAGCCATTGCAGAACCTGGAATGGACACAATGCTGCCTCAATCACAATATCGCATTTGCTGTCTTAGAAAATTGTTGTAAAACAATCATCTGGTGAAGTGGGTTGTACCCTTTGGTGTCCTTTATTGGTTGGTCCGTATGGATAGTAGCAGATTAACACCAATAATAATTTCTCAGCTAGTTCAAGTAGTAGGGCCCTGTGCAATGATCCCAGTCGTGTTGAGAAGGCATGTTGATCAGGTTTCTTGAGGTTTTTTCAATATTTAATTAGCCCAAGCTACTTTAAAGCAGATACCGCTCTAGTTTTGCCATTTAAACATGACAGGGTATTGTCCTGTCAGGGAATGTCAAAAGTATATCTCATGGTGCTATATGTACATGGGTTTGGGGAGGGGAGAAATGATGGAGAACAGTTGTCACTTAGATATCTCACTTTACAATATTTCACTGAGGAGCTGGCAAACTAGGTTCGATACTAGGCAATCTGATTGTTACCTCAAGCTTAAAAAGTGTTACTAGCAAACTTTGAATCATTAGACCTTGGACCAGTGATCAATCCAATGCAAGCTTTTGCATGGAGTATTTACTGTGCGTGAAGTTATTTTTATTTGTAAAGGCAGTGAGAGAGAGTTGAAATTTTCCATTCTCATTGTGTCTATCTTCTTCCTGTTTTTCACTACCCATTTTTACTATTTCTTTTGGTTCCTGCATCTGGAGAGGCGATTGAAATGTTGTCCTTCAGTAACTTCAAGAAATTTTTATCTGCTGGGTCAAGATGTTTAGCCAGTTTGATTTAAGACATAAATAGTTTGCAGCTCAGCCTGACACACTGTTATATCTCCAGAAAAGTCCACGTGGCATACTCTAAAGAAGTTTGAAAAAACACAGGGGCAAATCCCCAGAGTTATAAAGTCTGGCTGGAAGAAAGGTAGTGAACACAGCCCTTTTTGTAATTAAAATAATTTTCTCTTGAAAGCAAATTATAGTTTTATGTGAAGCAGCATTAGGACAGGTTATATATGTATATATGTCTATTTGGGAGGTGGGCTGTAGTCATTTTTTTGCCAGTAATTTTTTTTTTTTTTTTTTAAATATACAGTCGGTCATAATTGCCTGAGAAATGATTTGCACCATATATAGCAATGTTGAACCGATTTAGAAAAATGAGAATAAAATGTTATTTGTTCAAACAAACAAAGTGTTAATCCTAATTCCAGCTATGGATCCTGCTGAGTGATAGTACTTCAGTGCGTTGCCACAGAACTGCCTGCTAGCTGGGGAGGAATCACTTGGTTCTTTCTTTCCTGATTTAGAAATTAATGTGTATAGACAATGTTCTCGCACTCAAAATGTAAGTAGGAGTTTTCTTGGAGCTCTTAAAACCTCGCGCAGTGTCAATGGGATGGGCATTTCGCTGTAGTAACAGGTAATCAGCCTTGCTGTGGTGAAAGGCCTTATATTGAAGCGAGATTTGGTTTAAGTCAGACAAGAAGAATTTTTACATAGGCATATTACTACCAAAGTTCTAAAATGTATCTAAAGTATTTGGCCTTTTTTTGTCATATGGGAACACAGAAGTATATATATGTCAGTATCAGTTGCTTGTCTTTTTCTTTATCTCCGAAAGTGGCTTTAGATTAGGTGATAATCTAGAAAGATAATTTGATTTTTATGTTAGAATCAAAAATACAATTTCCGTTATGCAAAGATGCATTTAACCAATTTGTGAAGCTCTACACAGTCAGATTTGCAGTAAGTCTGAGAGCGATATAAATGTGTGCAAACCAACATATACTTCAGACAATTGCACAAGAAAGTTAGTAAACAAAAATGGAAGCTGGTTTTATGAGTAATTATTGAAAATGATGCTCTCTTGAGTAGGGAGCACTAGTGCGTGTGAAACCCTATGTGGTTTTTACATAATATGCCTCTCTAGTTAACATATAACATAAAGTGTCACAGATCTTTTAGAGCTTGATTCACTATGAAAGAAACACAACCATCTGTAGTGTGAAAGTTTATGACTCAATTGTCCACACCTTACAAAGTGATTCAGCAAAGACATATCTGGGCCGTGGAAACTTTTACTTCCCCTATTCCATTAGTTCTTGCTTTGAAGGAGTAAAAAGATCTTTGAGCTGCAGTATGCATTGTAACACTTGCATAGTAGGACAGTGTGCTGATTTAGGCATATGCTTTTAATTATTATTTTTACTTAACAAGACCGTTTCCTGCTTCAGAGCCATATTTTGAATTTTCAAAGGTGGATTAACAAAATGTGAAAAATGGCAACACATTTTCACAGTGATGGGCATGTAGATAGATTAGATTAGACAGAAATCTGGACAGACCATTGGAGAAATGTTGTTAGACAAAATGGGGCTTCTGCAATTACTTCTAGTCCAGTTGTGACCCATTTTGTCGAGGTTACACAGTGCTATTTTTTCAGCTTTCTTTTACTTGCAAATAAAAAAACACCGTGTAGAGCCTCAGTTATTATTCCACCATCATTTGAGCATACAAGCTGTAAGCTAGTGTTCAAAATCATTAATCTGTTCGAGTTTGGCATTGTGGGTAGCATTCTCTCTCTCTGTTCACATAAAATGCATAACCCCCCTTTCATTACAGGCCCAGCTAACTCAGCTTTACTTCATACGTGTTGCAGGCAAGCAGCATTCACGTGGATAGGTCCCATAGAGCAGCTGATACACAGTAATTGCAAGAACTCATCCATTCGCCCTCTTACTTTAGCGTTCTCGCTAAGCCTGGCTGTGTCAAGAGTTTCCTTTTAGGCCTTCCTGCACTTCCTCCTTCTTCATGCTTCTTTTTTGATTGGGGTGGATCCACACCTGACATTGTGAGCAGCTGAGCCTGAGTAACTTTAAGTCCCACTCAAAGTCTTAGTGAGTTCTAACACTTACTGACAGGTTGGGGTGACCCTGTTATATACCCTCTGGAGAACCAGTAAATCTTTTTGCCCTTCGTGATAGCTGCCAAATGGAAGGAGCTGCATGTACATCTAGCCTCACTTTGGAAATCACCTTGCTTCAGGAACATGCTATTTCTCTCATTTGCTATTAAATCTTTGCCAGAATCCAACAGTTTCAACTGAGCCAATTTTCTGAGATAGAAGAGCAAGAAAAAGTCAAAGGTATCCCTCTTTTTTTTGTTGTTTTTAATCTTGGCATTCTGCTCATGGAGAGATCTTTGTTGCCAACATGTCTGCTGCTTCTCCATCTATCTCTCACCCTTCAGATTTCTTAAAATAGCTAAGAACACAGAGTTTCTAAGCCTGAAAAACACACTTACTGGGAAAAAAAGGTCTGTATGAAGTTAAAAAATATATATTTATACTGTAAGCCCTGCAGCCTGGCTTCCTGCCCACGTTTGGGCATCTGTGCTGTCTCTGGATACCTCAATTGACACATGCGAGCCAGATCCAAAGAGGAGGAAATAAAGGGCACTGCCGGTTCAATGCTGAGCCCTTGAACACAGTGCAGTATCTTTGAGAGGTGGATTTTGCCACCACTGGAGTCCGTTCATTATCACAGGCCTCTGGAGGCTAGGACTCAGTCTTTAGTATTTGAAATTAAAAATTCTTTCCTAATCTATGCTGTCACTTCAAGGAGAAGTCACTCGTTGCCTTCATTCTCTCTCACTGCTAATAGTACAGAATATGTTTTAAGGTGAGCCCATCTCCAAGTTATAATACGAGAGCAGGCATACAGGGCATGGGAAAAGCCAGAAGACTCGATGAGTTAAAATATCAGCCAGGTTAAGGTTTCTAGGGCTAGTACTGAATTCATGTAAATAGAAAGAAAAGTTTCAGAAGGCAGCATAGCAACGCCTCAAGTCCAGGCACAGAAAGTAAATTGTCCTCTGAAAGAAGGAAGAAAGGGGATAAGATTTGAGATGTAAGTGAAAAGAAGGAAAAATTCAAATAGGAAGAAAGAATGCTGGCATATGAATGAAGAAGGAAGATAGGAGGAGAAATTCTTGCCACATATGATAAGCTTCAGAAAAGCATATGGAGTTTGTAGGGTTGAAGGAAGACTAACTGAATTCAGGATCCAAGGTACATGCTATTTCATTTCTCTGAATTACTTCTATCTTCTCCCTTTGAAACTATCATAGATTTCACAAAGGAATTTATTTATGGTCCACAGAGCTGAACATTCAGCAGCAAGCAAGAACATTCAGCAGCAAGCAAAGAGAAGTTGTTGCCAGATGGAGAAGTATGACTAACTCTCTTGACTGGCCTAACAGACAGTCCTGAAGCCCTGGCAAATGACTCAGTGCCAAAAAGATTTCTAATAGTACTGCATGCGCTTGGCCCATCCCTCACTACCTGGAAACAGTTGGTGACCAAAGCTTTGGGACATCACAGCGTTTATGCAACATAGAGCTGCAAAAACATACAGATTGTCAGCTCCAGAAATATGTTTATCCTCTCTGCCATATTCAACGATATGCAAAGAGAGGTAAGCAGATTTATGGTGCTGAGCTACGAACCAGTTGTGGCCCAGCTGAAGAGACTGTTGAACTTGTACAATGCAGAGGGTACAGGCTAGGTGGGTTGTGCCATCTGCTTAGAAAGAAAAGGCAAAGGAGAGTTTTAACAGCTGTTTGTTGAGTCAGATACTCATCCCTGATCGTTTGTGCCACAGTGGCAGATAACTGCCAAAGAAATGCATCCCCTGTAGCTTAATAGACCTGACCTGTATGTTATAAAGTTGCACCTGCTGGAAACAAGCCTTATGATGTAGTGCTCATAAAATGCCAGTGATCCTACTAGAGAAATGTCCTGAAATCAGCATGTTGGATTTATCCCTGTTTCTCTCTGTAGCTGGTAGTGCTGTAGCAGGAGACAGCAGGATATATCCCTGCAAATTCTACAAGGTGATTACATGAGCCTGAGCACTCTGTTCCATGTTACATTCACGTTTTCCCTGACTATGCTCAGTTTGCTGGGTATGACATACTGCATGTTAGTCGCTCCTAGTCTGCATGAGTCATATGTTGAAGCGTGAAAGCAAGGCTGCATCTCTGTCGTTGTTATTCATTGCTCAGTTGCTGCCGTACCACATAGCTCAAGCCAGTTGAGCTCACCTTGTTTATAAGGGTGAAGTTTGAATATAAACCTGCTCCCAGCTACTGCCTGGCCCCTTTAAATGTGATGCAGAATGTAGCCCAACATTTGGGAATGTGACTGCCATATGTGTTTGGGTTTGGGCTCTGAGTTAAGAACCTCCAGATGTTCTTCTGAGGGGATCATAAAGTGTCCAGAAAACCTACAGGCATCTTGAAATGTTATTTTAAAAATGGAAAGAATTTAAGGCGTCTCATAGAGTAAGCACACCTGTAGAAGCAGGTGGCTAAAGTGTGTTCTTTGTCTTCCTCATATAGCTGACGGTGCAAGATTACACGTTATTATGTAAAAGCCTTTGATGGGTTGCTTAGACAGATGAACCAAGATTGGTTTCACACTTTCAAAGTCTGAGAAGTGCTAGTGCACTCATATCATGGACATCATTTCTCAGACATGAAACATCCCCTGTAGACTCGCTGAGGTGTTTTCATTGATAAGAGGATAGATCTGCAGTCTGTAGATCATTGAGCGCCAACAAGTTGCAGGATCGCTTGTGGCTGCAGGCATGAAGCTGCTGTCTGTTGCAGCTGTGGTCATTGGACAGAGCCATTTGTTGTCTGTGATACAGAAGATGTGTTCCAGTCAGGTGACAGTTAGTGCTTCGGATTAAATCTGTTTAACAAAGGATACAAAGCAGAGTACAGTTGTATTATACCTGTCATTTGTAAGTGTCCAGTGATCCTCCAACATTATATGATTCACGAAGCTGAAAGCAATGATTTACGTAAAAAATTACTAATGCTCATTCTGCCTGCAGAACCCCTTAATTCCCGTTACACATGTCAGCATATTATGACTGGGAGCTGTCAAATTCTAATGACTAAAATTTCATTTTTCTGTCTTTTCATGCTGTGTTTGAGAACTATAGGTTGGAAATAATTCCCTAGCTAAATTTCTTCTTCAAATGGTAAACTCAACCGTTTGCTCTCACTCTCTCTCTCTTTCTCTCTGTTTCTTTATAAATTTGTGTTTACGTTCGTGCCCTTCTCTTTCCTTATGTTTCTCTCAGTAAGAGAAAAAAAATTGATTTTCTTCCCAGAACTACTGTCCATTTTAAAGAACATAATCTGAGCTGACAGCAGACAGATTTGATGCAAAATATTTTTTACCTACTGATTTGATCAAAACATGGATTATTTAAAAGAAGGGGGAAGAGGCAAGGCTAGTAACAAACAAAATGCACAAGAAAATTCTTACAATTTTATGTGGTTAAATAACCTTGACATTGGAAAATATTTTTGCCGTCCTCCTTGAAACAGGAATTTGTTGACACGATGTTCGATAATAGAGGTACAGGACTAATGTTAACATACTGCAAATGCTGCACCAAATAGTATTTATTGATCCACCTGTTATTATGCTTGTTACTGAAATGCTGTATGTAAAGCAAAGGAAACCAGTTTCCAATTTAAGTCATTAATAGATTGGTTTTGAAATTTATGTTACACATGTCCAACAAATCAAGAATAAAAGCATGTGAAAGGCTATGTAGTCCGTATTGAATTACTCATTCTTTCCATAGTAAAAGCCTTTAGCTAGAGATTGACGAAAGAATTTTAAATATCTCATTATATATGTGTCATTGTTCTAAGTGTCCCTAAATGGGATTAAACAATAGTCACTCAAGAGTTTCCTGCAATGTCTGTACCCCCGTCCCTCCCTCGTTCCCTCCTCACCTTGACTTAAATTAAGGCTAATGATATGTTTTCAGTGTAAGGTAAAAGAAGGATTTTCCTTGAATGACTTTCCAACATTTTCAAATCTAATTCATTATAAGTACTTCTATCAAATGATTACTTATTTCATCTCATTGTCTTAGAGGATTTAACTCTAAAACACACATGTTTGATATGGACATAATGACCATTTTATAAACTGAAACCAACTGAGCCAGCATTCACCTATGAATGTCTGTTTGTACTCAGAACTAAAAATAATACTAGACCTATTTTTCAAAGAATAATAGGTTATTTTAACTACTGTTTTTCCCCTTGCATGTATTCATTTGTCCTGGCAGCTGATTCTTCAATAAAAGATACTAAGTAGTCTCATGGGTGCAGAGGGGATGGAAGAAAGGGAATAGGCGTAGTAACAGTGGAGGGAAAGGCTATTTTTGGATAATTTGATATTTTTTGAGAATCAACTGTAACAACGCTATGCATTTTTTAAACAACAGCCCTGTTTCACAAAACTTTCTCCTTTCCTAATCCTATCTGAAAAATATTTCTTCAACCATAAGCATAGTAATACTAAATATCTCTATAAGGAGGGAAGAAGCAAATAGTTTTGGTTTCTCACCAAAAAAAAAAAAAAAAAGGATAATTGAGGTAGCAAACATATTGCATTGCTATATTGGTTCAGTCACCTGATCTGTCTCTCCGATCACTATTTGCACGATATACACGGTTTTGACGGGCTTGTGATAGACTGCTGTCTGAAATTCTTTAATCTGGGTCTCCTGTTTGGCAGTGCAGCAGACTTTGCTATTTTGGGTTTTTGAAACAGAGCCATACTCTGGAAGGATAAGATATAGCTGTGACTCTCTACTGACTCATCAGTATGAAAGCAAGCCAGGTAAACTTAAAACATACAATGGACCTGTTTGTGCTGTCACTTGTGCAAATGTGAAATAGAAATAGTTCCACTGAAATCAGTGGTGTTACTCCTGTGTGTAAGCCTGGACAGATATGAGGATCAGGCCCAAATTGTTTCTTTTTAAGGAGACCTTAAAAATAAAAGTGTCATTTGAACCTGCATGAGGTATTTGGTGAAATATGACCTTTCAGAGGGTTTGCTTCAGTACGGGCAACTGCTGAATCCCCACTCTGAGGACAGACAGCCTATGTTATTACATCCAGGAATGGCTAAATTGCGGAAAGGTAAATGCTACTGCTGACTCTCTTTGGCCTGTGTAAATGGAGAGGAGTTCATTAGCCACTTCCTCCCAACGTAAGTCTACTATACTAAGAGGAAAAACTCCTTTGTGTTCTGCTCCCAGATCAGAAAAGAGAGCTAGGAAGGGTGAACTACATTTAAAAAAAAAAAAAAAAAAAAAGCTCTGATTTTGTTGGAGGAACAAGGATTTGAGGTACAATTCAAATTTTAAAAAATACATAACCATACATAAAAATACAACCATTAAATGTATATGAATCTATTATAGTTATTTACATTCTGATTTGGAGACAAGGTTGAATGTGGATTTCTTCTTACTCACCCTGGCTACACACACTATGCATGACTCTCCAGAGTTATGCTAATGTAAATGAAAGAAGACCCAGGCCCAGGGTTTTTGAGCATTCAGTTCAGCACTGATGAATGCTCAGAGCAGAGAGCCTTTGCAGCAGCTGCAGATGTAACTGTGTGACCTACAGCAGGACTGTAGGGTAGTCAGAGCAGGAGCAGAAGGGCAAAATCACAGCAGGACCAGGGCCAAAGGGGAGTAAGTCCTTGGCCATGTCTAGACTAGTTAGATGGATCTGTAGATATTTCCTCAAAAAGCTTTTGCCTGTGTGACTTGAGAATGAAAGCTGACTAGCTGTTTTTCTACGCATGGGTTTGAAGAGGTGTATTGCTGAAGGTAGGTAGGTAGCATTCTGAATGTAGGAACGGCCAGTTCTCCAACGCTTTTATGTGTGGTGACTCATGAGGGCTTTCCTCTGTACCAGGCATATTTTATTCATTCACAGTGTTGCAAGATTGTTTAAAAAATTTAGCTTAGCTACGATTTTTTTTAGGAAGTTAAGGATGAGTCTACAAAGGCAAATGAAGTCTGCAAAGTTTATATGAACATGCCGTCAACAGGAAAGACCTCTAAATCAATCTGGACAAAAAAAATAAAGCCTGCTTTCCACATTTTGCCTCGCGTCTGTTAGTTGTGGTTATCTCTTGCTTGTGTGCACAAGGTGTAAGAACCTCACTTGTTTTAAGGAGCAGGATACAACAGAAATCCCTGAGGCAGAGCCTTTTCTTCAGCGCTTATACTAGCAGAGAGTCTGCCTCCGACATTCAGCTGAGGGTGCAATTACTTGGACATTGTTTTGATGGCAAAGCCAATTTAAGATGCTCCCATTCCTGTATTGTAGTTTGCTGCATTATAGGTTGAACAAGACTAGCCATTTGTGGAGCTGCCCTGTGAACTGACTCTTTGGCACAGCCAAAAAATTCCACATTTGCCACCAAAGAAAAGAGCATATCATCAAGGACTGGTTCTTGTTCACATCGAAGAAGCCTGTAAGCAATCGAAGTAAGCTCTTCTTTTTCTTTTTTTCTCACTTAAATAGACAAACAAAATTTATTGGAGGTTCATGGGACTTCATGGGACTTCTTACGCAAATTGTGAAGAAAGGTATTAGATCCCAAACCACCTTAGACGGATTGTCATCAAAGTAAGAACAATGGGGGGAAAAAAAAAGATTGTCTAGTGCATATCCCCCAAATCAATTGTGAATAAGACTACTGAGTTTCTTTTGCAGGAGACACATTTTGCTAGTTTTGAATATATGGGGCAACTGTCTTGCGTTTTTGAAAGTGTCGGCAAAAATGGAGAGACTCACAGAGTTTGCAGTGAATATTTCCTCAAAATTTGCATAACAGTGTGTAATTTGCCTCTTGTTGATCATTATTTTCCTTCTTAAAATATTTCAGTCAAGTAACAGAAATGATAGGGTGGCGTGGATTAGCGTTACATGTTTGTTTACATTTAGAATTTATATTGCAGTCAAGCCTGGCATCTCTCCTCAGCGACTGATGTCTCTTCGCTGCCTCCAGTGCAGAGGTGAGTGCTTTTGTCACAACTGGTTCTTGTAGCAGAGCTACTCTCACGCTTCAGGTTCTCTGCGGGAGGGGATCGAAGATGATTAGCATCTTGCAAACTCAAGTCTGGGAATCCCTACCTCAGAGACTTTCACGAGCTGATAGTGGAAGGCCCCGATCCAGCAAAGATTTACATGTCTGCTTCATTGTGTATGTTCTGAACTGCCTATGTGAGTTCAAGTTAATCTTTGTGGGATTAAGATCCTGAAGTTTAAGTGACTGACCCATGCAGCATGCATGGCAAATAATCTATACAACTGGTCTGTGAACAACCCAAAGGCTGAAAGCTCTCGTTCCTAGCCTGTGAATGAGATAACAAACACAGAAGAAGATTGCCTTCCGTTCACAAAGAACGATTCACTAACCATAAACAAAATGTGGGGGAGAAAAGGATGGGATGGTGATAAGGGTGCAAAGAGACAATTTTTTAGTAGATGGTTTCATTCAGTTAAATATTTCTTTTTTGCCAGGGAGTAATCTAACTGCAAGGCATTCAAACTTATAGAGAGGCTGTGCTATAGAAGAAAGTGTGCACATGAGCTCTAAGGGCAGCAAGCGAATCTGTGAAGAAATCATAGCCCTAATGCAAAATTTATAGGAGGTTATTTCCAAGTAGATAATAGTGTACAAATTCCTCAGGACCAAAGATGAGTTAAAGATAGATGTCATGCAGGAGGACACTGTAGAAACCAACCCATCAGCTGCTTCCCCATGTGACAGACCCAGAGGCAGCTCCAGAACCATTAACACAACTGCCTGGGGAGTTTGACAAGGAAAAAGATTCTGACACTGGAATAATATCTGCCAGCACTTGGCATCTGCATCCTGTGATGGCCAACCATCCTCCGTGCGTACTGACTCTACTGCTGGAAAAAAAGAGAAAAAGAGCAGTGGTAGAGAATTATCTTTTCTCACATGAAACTGGTTATTTGCACAGTAATCTAGAATCAGGACCTGGAAACAAAGTATTTTGGCAATGCATATTTGCAACTTGTATTAAAAAAAGAAGTATCAAAAATGTGTATTTGAAAAATATTCTGAAAGCATTTGATTTTATAGGTATAGCACAGTGAGTGATAAAAATCATTGAAATGTTATTTTGGCAGGTCCCAAGCTTCACCTAGCATATGCAGCCT